ATTTAAGTCTCTAATCCATCTTGAATTATTTTTCGTATAAGGAGTAAGGCAAGGATCCAGTTTCAGCTTTCTACTTATGGCTAGCCAATTTTCCCAGCACCATTTATTAAATAGGGAATCCTTTCCCTATTTCTTGTTTTTGTCAGGTTTGTCAAAGATCACATGGCTGTAGATGTGTGGTATTATTTCTGAGGCCTCTGTTCTGTTCCATTGGTCTATATCTCTGTTTGATACCAGTACCATGCTGTTTTGGTTACTGTAGTCTTGTAGTATAGTTTGAAGTCAGGTAGCATGATGCCTCCAGGTTTGTTCTTTTTGCTTAGGATTGTCTTGGCAATGTGGGATCTTTTTTGGTTCCATATGAACTTTAAAGCAGTTTTTTCCAATTCTGTGAAGAAAGTCATTGGTAGCTTGATGGGGATGGCATTGAATCTATAAATTACCTTGGGCAGTATGGCCATTTTCTAAAGTAACTTGCCAAAAAGTTGCTATCTTTATGTAAAATCACATCAATTTTTATATGCTCATGCCCATATATAATTCAGTACCTCTGGAGTTACGTGGGTATATATTTGCAGCAAATAACATTTTGGCCACTTCAGGGGTACTTCTGGAGCACTGTCATTTGAGCATACATTGATAGTTGAACTCTTTCAGAGCATTCATTTATTGATAAAGGGTGCCCATCTATATTACTGGAAGTTGCAACAGGGAATATATTCACCTTTTTTAGGCTCTAGTACAAGAAGCATAGGGTAGCTGGCAGTAAACAAGGATTAGGAAAATAAGTTCTAAATTGGTAAGATAAGATGTACCTCCTAAGAAATATGTTTAGGGATGTGGAAGAGTTGGTGTTTGTGTTATTCTCACCAGGTGCCTCAGCTCAGCTCCACATTTATCCACTCTGCATCCTTGGTTTTTTGCAGGGATCTATTCATTATTGATTCATCCCTGTGCTGGTAAGATTATGGTGCTGTTGAGTCTAAGGACCTTGAGATATTTTTTTTTTTAAAAACTGTACTGTTGGCTACCCATTTAAACATGGCCACAGATTGTACATTTGACTTTGATTAACACTTCATGAATGTGTCAAAAGAGTGGAAGGCTTTCAAATAATGTAAGTCACTGCTATTGAGAAAATAAAATATTCCACACATCTTAAGATGCTTTCTTTTTTAATCCATGTATTTATTCAGCAAGTGCTATTTCAGTTCCTTAGACACTGTGCTAAGAACTGGGAATATAAACATACATGCATCATTGCCTTTAAATAGCTTGGAGTGTAGTGAGGGAAACAGTTAAGTGAACACAGTTATAATATGGTATGAGAAGTGTGTCACCTTTTTATTGGTTCATTCAACACAAATTTATTGAGAACTTGCTTTGTGCAAGGAATTGTTCTAGGTATTGGGGATACAGCAGGAACCAAGCAGGTGAGGTCCTTTCTCTACAGGACTTTCTGGTAGAGGAGATGCACAATAAGAAAAAAAAAAATTATATGGTATTAATTACCAAATGTAGCATTAAAAAAGGACCACATGATAAGGAGTGACTATATGTCTACTTCAGTTTGGGTGGTCTGAGGAGACTTTAAGATGTGCCATTTACCTTATTCTAAAAAATAAGGAGCCAGTGTGAAGTCAGAGGAAGAGTGTATTTTAGGCAGCAGGAATAGTTGTAGTCAAGGCTCCCTAACTGGCTTGAGTTTGTTACGTTCAAATGCAAGAAGCAGGGCCAGTTTGGGTTGTGTGCTATGAATGGTAGGATATGAGGCTAAAGAGGTAGGCAGAGGCCAGATTATCAAGGCTCTGTGTGCTTAGTGTAAGGAGTTTGGCATTTTAGTATAAGTAGAACAGAAATCCATTTGAATATTTTGTGCTTGGAGTTTGTATGATCTGCTGACATTAGTCATTCTGACTATGGTATGGAGAATGAGTAGAAGCAGTAAGACACTTTAGGAGGCTATCTCAGTGACAGATGATGGTAGGTTACACTGTGAGATCATAATGAATAAGTAAGTGGTGGTATTCAGGGCATATTTTGGAGGTAGTGTCTCACCAGACTTGCTAATGGATATAGGAGGGTGAAAGAAAGGACTCAAGAGTAGCTCCTAGATTTTTGGCCTGAACAGCTGGTTGGATAGTGGTGCCTTTATTTTGGGAAGTTTGGGGGACAAGCAGGTTTGAGATACTGTAAATTACTGCTATTGAGAAAATAAAATATCCCACACATCTTAGTCAAGAGGCTCCACATCCTGCTCCACAGATATTCCACATTGAAGTGGAGACGTTATGTAGGCATTTGAATGTATGAATCCAGAGCTCAGGGGAGACATTAAGACCAGAAATAAATATTTAGGAGTCAGTGGCATCAAGATGGTATTTAAAGCTGTGCATCTCTAGGATATTACTTATCAATAGCAGTCAAGGCCACATAGCTAGTGACAGTATTGGGGTTCAAATTTAGATTTTTACCAACCCCCAAATTTATTCTGCCAAACCAGATTACTGCAACATATTTTCACGTTTATCGGGGGAAACCCCACCCTTGATATTTAACGTGGGTTCTTTTCTATTTCCCTAAGTGTCTCGGCTGGTCTAAGAAATAAACAGAAAGAGTACGAGAGAGAAATTTTAAAGCTGAGTGTCCGGGGGAGATATCACATGTCGGCAGGTTCCGTGATGCTCCCTGAGCCATAAAACCAGCAAGTTTTTGTTAGTGATTTTCAAAAGGGGAGGGAGTGCACAAATAGGGTGTGGGTCACAGAGATCTCATGCTTCACAGGGTAATAAAATACCATAAAGCAAATTGAGGCAGGGCCAGATCACAGGACCACAGGAAGGGGCAAAATTAAAATTGCTAATGAAGTTTCGGCATGCATTGTCATTGATAACATCTTATCAGGAGACGGAGTTTGAGAGCAGACAACCTGTCTGACCAAAATTTATTAGGCGAGAATTTCCTCTTCCTAATAAGCCTGTGAGCGCTACAGGAGACATCCCTGCGGCTTCCACCGTAAAAGACAGCCGCCCCCAGGGGGCCGTTTATAGGCCTACCCTCAGGGCGCATTCTCTTTCTCAGGGATGTTCCTTGCTGAGAAAAAGAATTCAGCGATTATTTCTCCTATTTGCCTTTGAAAGAAGAGAAATGTGGCTCTGTTCCATCTGGCTCACCGGCAGTCAGAGTCCAAAGTTTTATCTTCCTTGTTCCCTGAACATTGCTGTTATCTTCTTCTTTTTTCAAGGTGCCTAGATTTCATATTGTTCAAACACACATGCTCTGCAAACAATTTGTGCAGTTAATGCAATCATCACAGGGCCCTGAGGCAACATACATCTTCCTCAGCTTACGAAGATGATGGGATTAAGAGATTAAAGTAAAGACAGGCATAGGAAATCACAAGGGTATTGATTGGGGAAGTGATAAGTGTCCATGGAATCTTCACAATTTATGTTCAGAGATTGCAGTAAACACAGGCGTAAGATATTATAAAAGTATTAATTTAGGGAACCCATAAATGTCCATGAAATCTTCATAATTTATGTTCTTCTGCCGCGGCTTCAGCCAGTCCCTCCGTTCGGGGTCCCTGACTTCCCGCAGCACACGTTTATGTAGGCTAGCACATGTTTTCTCAAAACCTTTATCACTATGGGACTCAGAGTAATAATTAGCTCGTAATTATGACATTTTCTTGTTTTAGTAATATTGCATTAGTAATTATTTTAATATAATGTAAATTGGTGATGCCCCATTTATAGATCATTAGTAGTGGGATAGATTTCATTTTGTTGTTAGTAATATATAATTAATGAGAAAAAAAACCCTAGAAATTTTTATGTTGAAGCCATCCTTAAGATTTTATCTCCTTCAGAAATCTAAGTTACTTTAAAAGTGGTAAAATTAAAGTTGTATCTTGTTACTGATTTGTGATTGGGTATCATTTTTTTGGTCCTGTCATCACAGCGAAATCCTTTGTGCTTTGACAGCACTTTGTTTATGCATCTATTAAAATACTTAAATTGTATTTATTAAAACAACTTTATAATTTATGTTTCATGTACATGTCGTAGAGTATTTTTCTTATTTTTATGCCTCACATTTGGTATAGTTTCTGGCACATTGGAGATCTGCTGTATTTATTTAGTGACAAAAGTAACGAATTAAATGAATATGATCATTACATCTATATTATTTTAACACACTTAAATGTTACTAAAGAAAGCAAGTCACACAACTAGCAAATCATATTTTTTTTCATATAGCAGAAACTCCAAGTAAAGTTATGTCAAGTTGTGGTAGGATTTTTTTCTTATGTGGCTTTTTTCTTTTAAATTGATGAATAAAATGATTTTTAAAAACATATCCACGGGGGTCTTTCGTGTATCTACAGAACATTTGTTCCAGGACCCCCACAGATACTAAAATCTGCAGAGTTCAAGTCTCTTATATAAAATGGCATAATTGCTTATGTAAATTTAATGTATTGAGAAAGAAAGAAAAAATGGTACAGTGTCTGCTTGTAACCTATGTACATCCTCCCGTATATTTTAAATCATCTCTAGATTACTTATAGTACCCAATACACACAATCTAAATGATATGCAGTAGTGTGATCTCAGCTTACTGCAACCTCCACCTCCTGGGCGTAAGCCATCCTACCACCCCAGCCTCCTGAGTAGCTAGGACTATAGCCAAGCACCACCATGCCTGGCTAAGTTTTGTATTTTTTGTAGAGATGAGGTTTTTGCCACGTTGTTCAGGCTGGTTGTGAATTCCTGAGTTCAAACAGTCCACCCACCTTAGCCTCCCAAAGTGCTGGGATTACAGGCATGAGCCACCATGCTTGGCCTGTGTTGTTATTTCTAATTGTTTAAAATATTTTGGATCTGAGGTTGGTTGAACCTGCGAATATGGGACCTGTGGGTGAAGAGGGCCAACTGTGTTTTCTGTTGTAAAAGTTAAATGCTACTTACTCACATTACTCCCGTTTCTACTTTTAGGCCTACTGAACTTGATGCACTGGTATTTGGCCATCTGTACACCATTCTTACTACACAGTTGACAAATGATGAACTTTCTGAGAAGGTGAAAAACTATAGCAACCTCCTTGCTTTCTGTAGGAGAATTGAACAGCACTATTTTGAAGATCGTGGTAAAGGCAGGCTGTCATAGAATGTGTTAGTCTCAGAAGTCTTAACTTTTGAAAGATGTTTTACTTGAATGTTAGATATTGATGTCAGAATTTTAAAACCAAATTACTGCTTTTTGAAACCTCAAAACAAATTATATAATGTATCTTATATATGTGCTTTATATTGTTATTTGTGTATACATTAAAATCTGAATTATTTCATCTGATATGTCATATTCTGTATCTTGAAATTTTTGTTTCCTTGAAACATGCATGCATATAAAAATAAAGCTTAAACAACTATATGGATATTACATTTACTTTCTTTTGATTTTTCTGAAAGTCATTCACTGAAGTTTACACATGTGGAATAAACAGTGTCTTTTCTAAGGCAAGTAATTTGTGTTACATACTCCCAAGATTCCCTTGCCAGATACATGGTGAAGCAGATAATGGGAATAAACGTTCTTAACAAGTGTGCACTTAGAAGATATGGATTGTTTTAAGGTAATTAAATCTTGGTACAGATTTGACATTTAAGAACGTTCTTTATATAGAGACTTAATTTAAAAACATTTCATCAGAGCAGCTGTGATTTACATTTGATAAAGGAAAAGGTTGAGGAACCTAATTTTTTTGAGACAAGAACATTTTAATAATGCTCTTTTATTCCTTTGCGGGGAAGGGAAGATAGTTTCCACATAAGTATTAACAGGAATTTTTATGTAAACATTAAGGATTGTATGTTGTGTCCTTTTCCAATTTTCTCATAGTTTATGTTGTATAAAACCAGGGATGCTCTAGAGACAGATGTAAAAAATGATTTCTTAAAAATGGCTAGAATAATAGTACTTTTATACTTTATTTTTATGTACCAGGAAATTTTATCTCATTTAATCTTTATAAAAATAGTATGGCTTTGCAGACACTGCTACTATCTGGAGGCGCCTGCCGTCAGCCATTATCAGCTCCATGTTCTCCCACATAGCTGTCAAGTAGGAGCTCCACATCTCCTTTGGGCTGTTTGCAGGCAAAGTTCTAAAGACAGCAGAAAACTTTTGTGTCCTGAGCACTGGAGAGAAAGGATTTGGTTTAAGAGTTCTAGCTTTCACAGAATTATTTCAGGGTTTATATGGCAGAGTGGTGACTTCATGCCACAATGGCACTGGTGGCATGACCATCTATGGGGAAAAATCTGATGAGAACTTCATCCTGAAGCATGCAGGTCCTGGCATCTTGCCCATGGCAAATGGTGGACCCAACACAAATGGTTTCCAATTTTTTATCTGTAGTGCAAAGACTGAAGGCTTAGATAGTAGGCATGTGGTCTTAGGAAAGGTGAGAGAGAGGGTATGACTGTCATGGAAGCCATGGAGTGCTTTGGGTCCAAGAATGGCAAGATCAGCAAGAAGATCACCATTGCCAACTGTGGACAACTCTAATAAATTTGAATTTTGTGTTAACTACTAGACTATTCCTTCTGTAGCTCAGGAGAGCAATCTTCCACTCCACTTGTTTGTAGTATCCCATAATCTTTTCGCTCTCACTGTAGTACTTTGGGTTCCATATTTTCCTTATTCCCTTCTACATCTAGCTAGATTGAATGGTTAAGTTTATGATTATAAAATAAAAACCTAACAACAAAGACAAAACACCATGAAGGTTATTATTCCCAGTTTACAGATGAGGAAATGGAGACACAAAAAATACCTTGTCCAGGGTCATAAAGTTAGTAAATGGTAGAGTTGGAATTCACACCCATGAGTCATGGCATCAGTTTGGCTTTTTTTTTTAAAGGTTTTTTTTTTTTTTTTTTTTTTGAGACAAGGTCTCAGTGTGTCACCCAGGCTGGTGTGCAGTGGCATGCTCATGACTAATTGCAGCCTTGACCTTCCCCTGGGCTCAGTTGATCTCCTGCCTCAGCCTCCCTGTAGCTGGGAGTCAAGGTGTGCCACCTTGCCTAATTTTTGTATTTTTTTGTAGAAACAGGATTGCACCATGTTGTGGAACTCCTGGGCTCAAGTGATCCACCCACCTTGACCTCCCAAGGCTCATGCCTATGTTGGGATTACAGGCATGAGCCATGGTGCCTGGCTGAGTTTGACTTCTCATCACCATGCTTTTTTTTTTATTTTAAGATAGAGGGTTATACCATGTAAAGGATTTATTAAGTTTGCCTTAGTCTAAATCGCATGTAAACTTTGAGTACTGTCTTTGGACAATAGTGCTCTTAGTAGCTTTCCTGAGCTAATATTGGATTTACATTGAATTTCAGGGTTGTTTTAGAAAGAATCATTATTTTTACAAAATTAAGTCTTTATGTCCATAAATGTGTCATGCTACCATGTTTAGGCTTTTTCTAATGTCCTTCATTAAAGTTTCATAATTATCTCCATGGAGCTCTTGACCATCTTTTGTTGATTATGTTCCTGCGTGCCTATTCTCTCCATTTCTATTTATTATAAATGATATTTAATTGAAATTTAAGATTTTTGCTGTAAAAAATGTTCTCATGTGTGGAATCCATCTAGTAAAATCTTTTTGAGCTCTCTTATTCTAATGATCTTTCTAAGGATCCTTTGTAGTTTTCCATGGATAAAAGGTATAAACCCTAGATAATGGCAGTTTTGTTTCTTTTTAATCTTTAAAATTTTTGTTTTCTTATTGTGGTTAGTAGGACTTCTAAGTTAATGCTAAATAAAAACGAAAGATCCTTTTCTTTATTTTCTCTCTCTTTTTCTCCTCTCTTCCCTCTCCTCTCCCCTCCCCTCCCCTCCCCTCCTCCCTCCCCCTCCCCCTCTCCCTTCCCCCCCTCCCCTTTCCTCCCCTCCCCTCCCCTTTCCTCCCCTCCCCTCCCCTTTCCTCCCCTCCCCTCCCCTTTCCTCCCCTCTCCTCTCCTCTCTTTCCTGTGTCTCACTCTGTCACCTAGGCTGGAGTGTATTGGCATGATCTCAGCTCACTGCAACCCGGGTTCAAGTGATTTTCCTACCTCAGCCTCCTGAGTAGCTGGGACTACAGGCACACACCACTGCACCTGGCTAATTTTTGTATTTTTAGTAGAGATGGAGTTTCACAATATTGGCCAGGCTGGTCTCGAACTCCTGACCTTATGATCTGCCTGCCTCGGCCTCCCAAGAAAGATCCTTTTCTTAGATAGGAATCAACATTAAAAAAATTTTTTTTTTCTCTTAAAACATGGTAAATTTGTTTAAGTTTTTTGTGTACTTCACTGAAGCCTTATATATAGATCTTAACATTTTTTAAATTTTTTGCCTACTTGTTTTATGGTTTTGAGGGAATATTAGCAATTAAATCTTTTTTTTTTTTTCATTTATTTTTAAGTTAATCATTGCTGGTGAATCAGAAAGCTTTGGTTTTTACATGCTGGTCTTTAATCAAGCCACCTAACTGATCGCTTTCATTATTTTGCTTTTGTTACTTTTGGATTTTCTAATGAGGAATAAGTCTTTTTCCTTTCAATGTTATGTCTCTTCCTTCCCCTTCTCCTTCTCTTCCTTTTTCTTTCCTTCTTTTTTTTCTTTTACTGCAGGGGCGAGATCTTGGTGCGCTATTGAAAGATAGTGATAGCAGACATCCTGTTCCCAGTAATAATGGAAATGCTTCTGGTATTTCACCATTCAGTATGGTGTATCAGTAGGTTTTGAGTAAACGTCCTTTCATCAGATTAAGGAAATTTCCTTCTAATTGTAAAGTTTTTGTTTTGGAATATTATGTGTCAGTGTGCTTAAGTCAAGAATGGAAATGAAATTCTATCAAACATTTAAAAATACTTTTAGAGTATTTATGGATGATTAAAAGATTCTCCTATTTTATTTACTATTTTAATTATTGTCAGTTGTTATTTAATAATTTAATATTGGGAGTTTTTATTTTTAGTTGACACATAATTTTACATATTTATGGGGTACAGAGTGATACTTCATGTATGCAGTGTGTGATGATCAATTCAGAGTAATTAGCATATCCATCACCTCAAACATTTTACATTTCTTTGTGCTGGAAACATTCATAGCCCTCTCTTCTAGCTATTTAAAAGCATATAATATTGTTAGCTATAATCACCCAGCAGTGCTTTAGAACAATAGAACTTATTTCTCCTATCTAGCTGTAATTTTGTATCCATTAACCAACCTTTCCTGATTTTCCTTTCCCCAATCCTTCACAGCCTCTAATAACTATAATTCTACTCCTCACTTCTATGAGCTCAGGGTTTTTTTTTTTTTTTAGCTCCTACTTATGAGTGAGAACATGTAGTATTTATCTACATAGAAATGGTTGACTTATTTCACTTAACATAATGTTCTCCAGTTGTATCCATGTTGCTGTGAGTTTCATTCTTTTTGTGGCTGAATAGTATTTCACTATGTATGTATACCACATTTTCTTCATCCCTTTATCTGTTGATGAACATTTAGGTCAATTCTGTATCTTGGCTATTGTGAATAGTGTTGCATTAAAGATGGGGGTATAGATATTTCATAGGTATACTGATTTCCTTTCCTTTGGATAAATACTCATAGTGCGATTGCTGAATCATATGGTCGTTCTGTTTTTAGTTTCTTGAGAAACCTTCATACTGTGTTTTCTAATGGTTGTACTAATTTACATTTCCACTAACAATGTATAAGAGTTCCCTTTTCTTGGTGTCTTTAGCGTTTGTTATTTTTTGTCTTTTTGATAACAGCCATTCTGACTGGGGTGAGACAATACCACATTGTAGTTTTGATGGACATTTCCCTGGTGATGAGTGACATTGAGCATTTTTTCATATACTTGGCCATTTGCATGTCTTTTGAGAAGTGTCTATTCAGGTTCTTTACCTGTTCTTAAATTGGATTATTTGTTTTTTTGCTCTTGTGCTGTTGAGTGCTTTGAATTCCTTGTATATTCTGAATATTAGTCTCTTGCTGGATGAATAGTTTGCAAATATTTTCTTCCATTCTGTAGGTTGTCTCTTCTACTCTGTTGATTGTTTCCTTTGCTGAAGCTTCTTAATTGGTTATTTTTGGATTTTTGCATATTGTTCATGGACTGCTTAGTTTAGAGTTTGTGTGTATGTCTGCTCTAGTTTTGTCTCTCAAGTTTTGTGAGCGTTTTGCAATGGTAGGAAACTGTCCATCTTTTTCTATGCTCTGGAACAGTTCTTACAGAATATAAAGTCCTGTTCTTTGAAGTTCAATAGAACTTGTCCATAAAACTTATTTTTCCACTCTTAGAGTTTTTTTGGAAAGCCTGATTTGCTATTTTCTAGGTGCAGTTAGTTGGCTTTTTCATCCTTTGGGTATTGTACATG